TATGTCGAAACCCATTTCCGTCTCTGCAAATGCAGTGGACGGTACGCATAGGTCATTATACGGAATTGCAGTTATACTCACATTTTTGTTTGTGTGAGGTTGAACTTGAACTTATACATCGCGCATGGCTGAGGAATTTGAACTTAATGTGAATTGAACTCATGTGCATACCCGTTAAATGAATTAGTGCTGACTGAAATGCGTACATATCTTACTATACGTAAAGTAGTAAACCTTCCATACCTGTGGAGAAGAAGAAGAAGAAGATTGTTCGCATTGGTAACGCAGTTGATAATGGAGGATAATCTGGTGTTCTCTGTACGAAAAACATTGTAGCAGCTAACACAAAACACTAGACTTGTCCTTGCTGGCATAGAGTAACAATGATCCATGATGCGTTATATACTGTGGGTACTTCCGTTCGACCGGGTCATCGCCGAAGCTTTTCATATACCGATGCCTCCGCACGTTTCTTACCGGTTTTGTTTTACGCTATGACTGAGTTTCAACTGAGGCTTAGTCGACAGTGTAATAAAATTTACTGATTGCCCTATGAACCGAACAGCGAATTAGATTTACTTCATACTGGATGGTAGGATTACCGCAAGCGGCGCTGACAGATGTTGCGGTTTATTTCAAATATTGGAAAAGAGTTCACTGTGCGATTTTTCGGCTATGGGGAATGTATGGTTTGCAGGATGTATGAAAGTCAAGTGCAGTTATACTACACTCGGGATGTCACATCTATTATATTATTATGTTTATTGGTTATTGTTTTAAACACAGCTGCCATGCATCATATTTTGCACGTAATGCTGTTGTGTGCTGCTACATACAACGTTCTACCGTTCATGCTTATGCTGTAGTTATATTAATAACTGTCGTTCGTATCGTACCCTACAACGGGATTTAATATGCCGTTGTACATAACAGTTACACACATAATCGTGTATAGCACTGTTTAACACTATATCATACAGCGTGATAGTTTTCCTGTTCGGATATAGTGCATTACTGTTCTGTTTGCGCATTACTGTACAATGTATAATTGGTATTATTGTGAACAATGGTGACGTTGGTAGTAGTTTGCATTACGGATATTCTGCAGTGCTGCAATGAAATGCGATACTTAATAAGGTTATATAGCCTATTACTTAACCTTAGCTCATGCATAGTAGGTTGGTAAGCAAGCAAATTTTCCTAAACTGAATTTCACAGCGTCCATTGCCCATCACTTGGTTTTCGAAGCCTGGGGACCATTTAAGCTGGCTTCGTGACGTTTAGGTACATAATTTTGTTGAATCATTTGGTTTTGCTCCTTCCTCCTTGAGCGTAATAATGAACGGTGTAATCTACTGCCTACATTTTTGGTCGGAATAGGAATTTCCTGAAGATACGCCACTACGTTAATACCACTGTGTAATTGATGGTCCGTCTCGGGTTTGAGATCGGTCTTTCAGAGAGATTTAAAAAGTTTACCGTCTCTCTGCCCTTATTGTCCATTGACATACGATTAGATGGTTTAGTCATAGTCAGAAATCTTCTTTGCAGCGTATGTAACTGAATTTTCAAAACTTATTTTGAAATTATTTACATTGTCTCTTATCAGCTGCTAATTTCCATCATCACCTTATTCATCCCACTCTGCTTCGGTGCTATCATCAAAGAAACAGGTAGCAGGTCGTTGGCCTGCGAATGATAGGAAAAGATGGTGTCTGGCGCGGTCTTGTCAACGCATGCGAGACATGGCAGCCATGCTGTGTGATGCGTATGCTTTACCGCTGCATTTCATATTGATCCCCCTCATAGCTAAAAAGCTGAAAATTAGCACGATGTGTAAAGGTAAATTTTCATTTTAATTTGTCTCACCATCAGGGTAGGATAAAGCTGTACACGTTAGTCATTTATTTCTTTGTTCCATGGCCGTCGATCCCCAGAATCAACGCACCGTCATCAGTGATTTGTTAATTAATCTGATCGTGAATAACTTATGAGTCGTGATTCTATCCTATATATATTCAGAAATCTAAGGTCGGGAAAGTTCGATACTGAAATCTAGCATTAATAAATTTAATTTAAATATCCAACTAAATCAGATGCTATAGACGAGATATCGTTACCGACCTCAGTATTTGTTTGCAAAATACTCGCGATGTACAAACAATTTGTTTGACTCAAATCACTTGGCCAATAAATGCTGCAGGCGTAGTCTCGATTTCGTCCCTCGTACAATTTCATTGGTATAATTTTAAAGATACTCTTTTTCGACGCAACGGATTTCAAACTTCTTTTGCTCAGTTTAAAATAGCTGATGATTAATGCCTTTAATTGCGATTTATGTGAACCACGATTGTTTTCCAAGTTTCTTTTAGTTGGGTATTTTACAGTACGTCTCGATACGATC